GCCAGGAGAGGCAGCAGCCTGCAGGGTACTGGCTGACCTTGGGCTGAGTGTAAGGGCACTTGAGGGATGTCACATTGCTGGTGCCTGAGTTGGGTGTCCCATGTAGGCTTCCGCTCAGACCTCGGGATTGTGTCTGAGCATGCTTAGCTCTGGATTATCCCAAAGGTGTCTAATGAGTGAGCCGGATTCCTTTCCAAGCCCTCTGTTGTGGCCCTAGGTGGGCACTGGGGAGACAAGGCCCCTTACCCAACAGTTTCCACAAGGAGCTCACTCATAACCGCTGTATGATGTCACAGGACCAGGCCGTATTTTCTGCTGTTGTTGTACACAAAGCTACTGCGAATCGGAAGGCACTCCCAGCCACACATGGTATCACATACACACATCCACGCAGTGGTGCATAGTTCCACACAGTATTTAAAAGCAACAACCTCACGGGATAGGAGAAGAAATAATTATTAAATTATGGTTGGAGATACTGACAAACATTTGTATACAAATTAATTTGTCATGCAAAATGTGCAAAATGTAATGGAAATAAAAATCAACTAATCAGGCATCAAAAAGTAAAAGGGTTTATAACCAAACAAGAGAAGTCAATATTTTTTAGTATATAAAGTCTATTCCCAATAAAATTGCCTATATAAAACTTGCCACAGTGAATAATCCAAATAAAATAAACTGTACATTGTAAACTCTCTGAACATAAAACAGTAACTCTGAATCAATCAGAAAAGAATGGAACGTTAAATTGGCAGTCATAGGAATATATTTGCCTAGATTGAATTTGTCAAGTACTTTTCATTTTGTGGCCTTTCACTAAAAAGGTATTTGGCTGTGTGTTCAACTTGATTCATCCCTGATTCACATATGAAAGCAGGGGCATCGCATAACCCTTCACCATCCTCACCATCAGTGCTGTACTCGAACTCAGACTTGCAGCCACACAGCAATCCACTCTTGGAGATTTCTTCTTTCTTTTCTTTTTCTTTTTAAGCTCTCTCTACAAAAACTAGACTCAGCAGAATCAATTACTGTTCTACAGAATAATATCGTTAACTTTATAACCTATTATAAGTCTGTTTTTAGACAAACCATTTTCTTCTTGTTGGACATTAAATGATTGTCATTTTTTATAAATGATAAATAATTGAGAATCTTTGTGTTTGTAATTCATTATAAATATTTCAGATCTTTTCTTGATATAATAACATTGAAGACATTTCAAATAATTTGTTATTAACTGTTGCTCTTTTCATTCTTCAATCTTCTTTTTAAAAAATTATTATATTAATTTAAAGTTCTTTTGTTTTTATATCTTATCAAGATAAACAATGATTTTTTTATTGAAAAGTATAGTAGATTTTTATCCTACCTTATTTTGAAGTATTAGACTATTTGAAGTTTTGGAACATGCTCTTTCTAGCTTTAATAGAATCTTATGTTTTGGGGGTTTTTTTTCTAAAGAAAAAAATAACAGGTATTATTTTTTTGGTTACTTTATTAGCCCTTGAAATATTAAATATTAAATATTAAAATCCTGCTCCTGGGTCCCTTTCTCTTTTTCTTGTAAATGTTAAATTTATATGCTGGTGACTTCTATGTGGATTTCTCCTACCAAATCTATCCTGAGATTTCCCGTTTTATAAAAGATTCACTTAGTTGATCTGCTTGAATTTTTCAAAGCTACATAAAATTCAATGTCTCCAAAATGAAATTCTAATTTTCTCTTCAGTTTGATTCTTAATTTTTTTTAACTGAATAGCAATGAAGTCCACCCCAAAACTAAATTGTCCATCCAGAAACTAAACTCAGAAGTAGTAGCTATGTCTGATCCCACTTACAGACTCCTCGTCATTAATTCAAGGACAGATCCTATCCTTCCTGACTGTAATATTTTCTTCATCTTTGCTAATACCACTGTGGTCCAAGCCATAATCAATTCCTCTTAACTGACTTTCCCTCTGGCCTTCTAATACTGCCCTAGCTGTAGAGTGAGTTTTGAAAAATGTAATTTACATCATGTCAGTCACTATTTTAAAATCTTTTAATAGCTTTCCATTAGATGTTGAATAAAATCCAAGCTCTGTACTATGGCCCAGTGACCTCGCTGTAGCCTTTCACTGCAGCTTCATCTCTGAAAGCTGCTCCTCTTTCCCAATCTGCTTCAATCTCTCTGCCTTTTCCTAGCGCATGGAAATCCATTTCTCTCTTGAAGGGCTTGCCCTATCTATTCCATTTACCTGGAATGTTCTCCCCCAGCTTTCAGATTCTGAGCCTGGTTCAGGAGCTGTTAGTATTTTCTTCTGTGGCACGTAGTGTCACTGTGAGTCAGAACAGACTAAACGGCACCCTGCAACCACAATAATTCCTTCTCAATAGTTTCCTGAAAATGCATCAACATTCTTTTGCTGCATTAATTATTATACATTTTTATGTTCTACATAGTTTAAATGCTGAAAAATGTATTTGTTTATTATTACACAAAACAGTTCAATGTTTGACCATATTTTTAAATTTCAGTGAGATGGTTTGTTAATTTTAATATACTTAATTGATTTTGGATATAAGTGATCCAGCATGTATGTTCAAATGTTTTATTCCTTATAAAGATTTAATAGTTTTCTTATTATGAATAATCATCTTCATTTTTTGTGAATATATTTATGTTTTATATTTTGTTTACGTTTAATTTTTACTGTCATATTAATAGCTTATTAACTCTATGTTAAACATAGCATTTTACAGTAAGTACAATTATATTTAGCGTTGCTAAATCTTCTGGTATTTGTTTAGATTTACAGTAAGAAACGATATACATTGCAATATTTTACGTTTCATTTTCTAGAAGTACTTAATCTTATAATCCTTAAATTTTGTTTCAGGATCTTATAAGCAGTCATTTGCATGTGGATATGCAACATACAAACCTTTTTTCTACAAATGCCATAACTATTTTCGATATTTAAGTGTTTCAAAGATCATTTCTGGGGCCAGAATGACTTTTAGCGATGGTGAGTAATTTCTTTTCTACCAAGTGCTGCCGATATCCTTATCCTTAAGATTATTGCACCAATTATGTTTAGATGTTTTATTGCTTATTTTATGAAGACTTGTTCCACCTTTATAATTATACTAATGCAGGAGCTTCACTTCATAAATATTTTTCTTTTTATTGTTATTCCTTTCATTTTTAATTTTCTGTTCTGCTTTCTACATCATACATTCTTTCTACATTTATGTGGCTACTAGCTGTTAGGTAGTGAATTTGCACTCATGGAAGCCTCATGTGTACAGAAAAGAATTGCTCAATGGGATTTCCTTTCAGAAGCAGACCTTAAATCTGATTGCGGCAGTTACATGATTTCCTGTCAACTTGAGCAAAGTGGTAGAGTCTAGCCTGTCAATCAGGGTATAGCTTGAACATACATGTTGACCTCCAGCTCACTGGAGGTCAGACCCATTCTCTCTGCTTTCCTTTTCCTGCTGTTGAGACACTCAGAGAGCAAGAGGAGCCATGGGGAGACCTGCGCCAGCACTGAGATGCTTCCACTACCACTGGATCCACAAGACCAGATTTTACCCACTGGCCTATGATAGTCCTACAATTGGCATCATTGTATATGTTGCGTGAATCTAAAAAGGAATTTATGTACTGGTCTCAGACATATGGGCTAATATCAGACTTATGGACTTCATCTGGACTAGGGTGGGGTGTGTTCTCAACATACAATTACTTTTATATCAAGCTCTTTCTTATACACATATGAGTGTCAATGAATTTATTTCTCTAGTCAACCTGGACAAACACACCAATTTTCTGAACCAAACATTTGACTGATAGTTAAGTGCAACCGAGGGACTCCTTCTAACTGTACATTACTCTTATAATGGACTTTAGTGCATTTTTTCCTCTCAGTCAAGTTCTTTACAGATAGAATTGTATAGATATAACTTCTGGAGAACAATTTGTTTTTTCTGTTATCAATTCATATTTTAAAGTATCAAAATCTTTGCCTTGTACTAACATTTAATTTGTCAACAATAAGTGCTCTCTTCTAGATTAAGCGTCTATATGTTTTATGTCCATCTAACATTAAATTAAGTAATTGAAATTGAATGGTTAATCTGAATGGTGATGTATCTATTTATGGAAAATTAATTACCCAATTCCTGCAAAAGCGCCTTTCAAAAATTGGTACTATAATAAATTTATCTGTTGCTTTTCCTACATGTATTCATGCTCATGAAAATAAATGTACTTTTTTTCATTTTTCCTATATCTATTTCATTTGATCTAAATCATTAATGTTGGGTTCTTCAGTTGAAATTTTAATTATTATTGATTACTCTATAATACAGCTTTTTCACTTTGATTTTAATATATGAAGGTATTTGCTAATTGCAAATTTCAGAAATGTTGGGAAAATTGAAGGAGAATATGGGGCTTAAGCCAGTGGCCTCAAGAAATAAGGCCTATGTCTTGAAGAGTTCAAACCCCATTTAGAACAGATAATATTGAGATTCTTGCTTCCCTGATTAGGGCATAAGAAACAAGATTACTCCCAAGAAGAGTGTTCAGCAGCTAGATATATATATATATATATATATATATATATATGACATTTTTGACTGTATAATTAATCAAAAATTTTAATTTATCTATCACCTTTGCTACAAAACAAAAAGGACTAGATCATGTGATAGGTCTAAAATACATATTAGAAAATGAAACAAGACATATAGGTGGTTGAGTTGCTGGGTGGTGCAAATAGCTACCCTGTTTCCTCACAAATAAGACAGTGTCTTATATTAATTTTTGCTCCCAAAGATGCACTAGGTGTTTTTTTCAGGGGATTTCTTATTTTTCCATGAAGAAGAATACAGAACATATTTATTGGTTATTGTTTTATTAAAAGAGACCTTGCACTTCTTGTCTGCTCTGGCTGCGCTGTGGCCAACAGTGAGCTGTGGGGCGGCGC